TGATTACCGAAACCCGGATCCCCGTACTTTTCAATCGGGTTTTGGATCGTAACTACCAACCGTGCCCATGCACTGGGTTGGTCGAGACGAAGACGTCTACTGGTGTGAAATTGGGACCAAACGCGGTACGAACCCCAACCAAGGTTTCAAACCACGTGCCGCAGTATGATTTCGTGCCTACGGCTAGTGGTGTTGCAACCCAAACTGGCTATCGCGTTGCTGGTACTACCAGGACCAAAGTGCATCTGTACAGCTCGTGTCGAGCCCTGACCAACAAGGACGTGGAGGAAACTTCCGTCACTGAAACTACTGACTTGTGCAGAACATGCATGTTGAAGCAGCCCGTGGCTGAACAGAATTTGTCGAGTAGCAGTGTTGGTTCTGAATATAGGGCTGAGGGTAATATTGAAACTGAAGTTCAAGCCACAGCTGGCCGCAATGTCTATGATGAAGATGATGATATCGACAGTGTACTCGCGGAGCTGGCTGCAACCCCAACAACAAACGTTCCCCAGGCTCGAGTAAACGGTACGTCACCCTTGGTTGGTCAGTCACGTATGGGGTATCGTATTAGCAGTGCAGCCAAGGGCAAGGTGCACGCTAATCCCGCATGTGGTTCACTTAAGAACAAGCAGGTACTCGGAGTGGTTATAACGGAAACAACCGATCTGTGTAAGAAGTGCAACCTTATCACCCCTGATGTGCAAATGCTACCAGTAGGCTCCGAAGATAACGCTTACGTTAATGAGGCATTTAACGTAGAGTCACCAAACGTCCCAACTCAAGTACCGGTGGTGGATCTTACGCGTGAACCAACAGCTACTGTTACAACGACCGTCCAGTCTCGCACGGGATACCGTATTGCCGGCGCCACCAAGGGTAAGGTTCACATTGCTATGACGTGTGGATCCATTAAGAACAAGTCCCTAGACGAAGTCGCGGTAACCGGCACAACCGATCTGTGTAAGAAATGCAACAAATGATTGGAGTATGGGGTTGGGGGGAGTGTGTTGTTATCCACAGTTAAACATCAAAAATATCAATAAACTAACTCTACATGAAATTAAATGAGCTTGCTAATGTTACGTCGGGGGTTAGGGTTTAATTTGGTCGGTGGAACAATTTTCGTGTACTAAGGTTAAAACCCTAAACCCTACACCCCTAAACCCTAAACCCTAAACCCTTCTAATCCCCACAATAAACCCCAACCCCAGAGACCCTACACGTACACCCAAACCCCCAATTTGGACCATAAGGGGAATACTACGTGTTAAACCCTAAAACCCTAATTAGGAGATAACTGGTCTTTGGGTGTGTCGTGCGAGGTGGACTGCCTAAGCCACACCCTCCGTTTGTGATGGGTGGTCAACGGTTCAGGGCTGATCCGTGAACCTCCCATTATTTAGCTACTTCAAGTCACAGTCGGTTGAACCATTCGTAAATGCACCACTATATAAGAAGTAGTCGCGCGTTCACACTTTCCACATCACTTGGACATTATCACTTCAACTTAATTATGTTTCTTCAGCCATCTCGTATCGAAACTGTCGGTAGCGACATTTTTTCAATCATCATGTCGAAACTGACAATCGTCGATGTCCTTGAGCTTCATGCTACATGTCGCAACATTCAGAAATTGAACCTTGTACGCCAGTATCTTGACGGGGAACTGGCCTTTCACTGTACCGAAAAGTTTCGCAACCCTGAGGTTTGGGACTCGATTTCTAAGCTGGGTCTGACCCGAGTGTGGATTAAATCGTACAGCAGCGCTGCTTCACTATCTGGTATCTCGACCCTGACAAACCTGAAAACGGTACGTCTTGAAAATCGTGGCTCGGTCAGCGACTCCGTCAATTTATCAATACTCTCGAAACTAACATCACTGGAAAACCTCGATTTGATCGGTATCCGCGCGTGCAAGGGGTCTTTGCGAGACCTCCACCAGTTGAAGCAACTTGAACTTAGCGACTGTCCATTTGACGTGGACCCTATCATCAGGAGTTTGGGGGGTCTGGTTAATTTGCGCCAATTGTGCCTAGACGAATCCGGGGCGGAGGACGAAGGTGACTATCTGGATTTGGAGTCCCTGTCTCGTTTGAACCAGTTAACGAAGCTCGAAATTACTGCCAACGACCCCCGTGTATCGGTGGAACCATTGACGGGATTGCGCAATTTGGAACATCTGGAATTGCACAGTATGCACATTCTAGACTACGAAATGCTCGGACACCTGATTAATCTGAAGACCCTAGTGTTGTCGAATGCCGAATACGTGAAACACGGTGAGTATTCTGTTGACTTCCGTCTATGTAAAAACCTGGAATCTCTAAACATATCCGAGGATGATGATTTAGAGGACTGTTTGTTACCAGAAGGATTTGTTAATAAAGTTTAATCGAATCATGTATGAGCTTTAATACTGTATAACACTGTGAATTGATAAACGTTGATACGTTAGTAACTCCGCAGAACAGATGAACCCTGTAAACGGAGAATACACTTGAATGTTTAAAAAAGGAAAGGCAGCGCCAGGGGTGGGATTAAACACTGCCAAAAGAGAACAACCCCTACCCAAACTTTAAACCATTGAGTTCGGGTGTTGTTGCTACCTTTAAAGGTTGTCGTTCACAAGATTCCCGTGTACGAAACGAAATCGTTTTAGAAATTGGGGTTGTTGTTTTGATGTTTATTCATGTGCTAAAATATCTCTATGTGTCGTCGAACCCTGAACTCTTTATTGGTAAACACCTAAAACCACTGGTTCTACTCACCAAATGTCGTGGTTATGGCTTTTATATAGTACTCATACATTTTACGCCCAAATCGGTCAATCATGTGGTTGATTCGTGGGGCGCTCGGTGAATCTAGTCCACATTCCAACAACACACACGCAATCCCTAATTCGGTCGTTTCGAATAGGGCGTGATTTGCAGTAATGATATCAAGTAGGAGAAGGATCCTCGGTAGCGGCTTCCCGATGGACTTATCCGTCCGAATCGTCTTGGAAATCAGTGCTACAATATCGGGTGCAGGCTCGTACGGCTCGTCGGCCCCGTGTAGTAGAACGTCAATCATGTACCAGTAACAGTAGTCGGTGTTTGCCGAACTCAGGAGAACTCGCAGCATTGTTTCGTGCATACCAAAGAACACGTGGTCTCTTATCCCGAAGTACGTTTCACACGTCTGGTCGCACACACAGTGTTCGTTGTCTCCATTTTCGCGGTGGTGGTTCATATTTCAGCTAGCCTTTTGTTGTTGTTGTTGTTACAATAGAAACTGAACCCCACCAATAGTGAGCTGGTGCGTTTTATACCCACCCTTCGGATGATCCATGACCGATCCGTCCCGATCCGTGAACCCCCCAATCCCCGACCCATAAAATTTTTGCCACGCCAATACTAAGACCGATTAGTATAAAGGGTGCTGGCACGCCCAGGGTAGTTTCACATTCACACACTGACCATTGTGAACCTATTATATACATCTAAAGTTTAGTATACTTGTTCCGCCGAAATCATGGAAGCCATCACCCAGCCGACTGCAACAGCAACCTTGACAGAGTCTATAACGCAGAGTCCGAGTGGATTAGTGACCTCTGCCGATCAGACCTCTGGGCTTACGGTTGCTATGGAAACGCTTGGAATGGACACTGTGAATAGGACACCGGGACTTGGTGACCCGTCAATCAACCCGATCGTGGACTCGGACCGAATTGCCCATGACGACGAGCATCATCGGGTAACACTCAACATTGACGATATCCGCGACCAGCTATTTACCTGTGGTGTGTGTGTACGGGTATTTGAGGATGTTACGACAACTATGTGCTGTACGTTCATCCTGTGTGTTGCCTGTGTTAATCGACTAGGTGAACGCACTTGTCCCAATTGTCGTAACGACAACCTGAGTCTTACTCGAAACCCAATGGCCAAGCACGTCTTGCAAGTGTTTGAATATACGTGCCCCAAGTGCTCTCAGCACTTAAATCCCATTACAAGTGACGGTCACGTCTGCTTTGCACCCCCGGTAACATCGATAGTTGTCCCGGATACTACTGTCATCGACCCTAACATGTATGATGATGTACCGGCGTCGCCAGAGAACATACCATCATCCCCAATGTATGTTCCTACATCCCCGGTGTATACATCTACAACCTCTGACGGCTCAAGTAGTGATTCCCGAACCACTACTCGTTACCCTCCTCTGCGTAGAAGGGGAGCATTAACTTACCGGAAAATTGCTCTTCCACCAACCCACGAATTTGCTCGACTAGTCAACAAATGCCTCCAACCAACAGTTATCATACGGAGCAAGTTGCACGACCAGCACGAATGGATCATCTTTGAGTTCCGCAAGCTTGGGTTGGGTGATTCAACTATTGCTGCATTTGTACGCCAGCGACATAGACTTACCCACGTGATTAGCGGTAGGGCTGTCCGATGGGTGGACGGAGCTACCATCCTTGCGTTGGAACGCGAGCTGTTAAATTAATAAAAGCCTTAATATTAATAAACCCCTAAACCCTATTGTGTTGACAAGAGCAATAGTATTTGTAAACCCCTAAACCCTATTGTGTTGACAAGAGCAATAGTATTTGCAAACCCCTAAACCCAAACCCTAACCCAAGCCTTAATAGCAATAGAACCCCAAACCTTACATATTGACAAAAACCCTAATGTTAATAAAACCTCAAACCCCATATATTCATTAGAGTAATCATGGTACTGAAAAGAGTCAAATCGCTTCAAGTCCCACCCCTAGTTTGATGATACTGAGCCTATTCTTTTTAAATCTGGTGTAGGGGGGTTGACCATTCAGCCTTGCGTCGTGAACCGTCCCGCTCGAACCCATACTTCTATCGCCTCAATTCATTCCTACCGCCCCCTTTTAGCCACCACTATCTGACCTTGCGCTTTTCTAGGTCTTGGTGGCGTATAAAACAAACCCACCCGTTTGGTTAAGTGACACACATCCGCCTTGCACATTCAACAAGCAACGCAGACAAGCCTCCAAGTAACGGTTAATCTACTTTTCCTCCACCCTCTCTAAACTATGGCGTATCAACGAGTCTCTGTACGTACACGCGGCGGTAAAGGTGAAGACTTACACGGTGAATTGTCAAGTCCCAATTCCCCAGTCCACGACCAACCCTCAACACCCACATCCTTTTACCCGGATAACATGGCTGATGAAATTCTACCACTTAATTCCACCGAAAACATGCATAGTCTTGCATCCACCTTTCCTTCTCACCCTACAAAAGTATCGATGACCAGCCTGTCCGACTCATTGCCGGACGCCCAAGAGTTTACGTATACCACAAACATGGACGTGATGGATCTGCAAGTCGATGAACCACTGCTGCCGTATACGGTGCCATCTACACCCAACGCCAACTCTAGTGTGGATGACCGTACTGGCCCAACTGAGAGTCCCCTTATCGATAGCGACTATAGCGTTCCGGTCAACGATATACGCAACCTATTCCGTTGCAACACGTGCAAGATTGTTACACCGGACGTAGGTTTATGGTCCAGCTGTGCCACCAACGTGTGTCGTGCGTGCTCTAAGACACTGGTGCTTACCAACAACCAGTGTACCAACTGCTCTGATCAGGACTGCCATATTGTATACGAATCACCCCTGGCAGCCAAACTAATTGCGCTCCTGGACCGTACGTGTAGCCAATGCAATGCGACTACGAACCCAATTGTCGAGTTGAACCACGTGTGCGTATACGACTGCGCCAGTCTCCACTGCATCCCCGGAGAGTATGAGATTGAGGTTGCTACCAAGGGTGAGTGTACAATTGATGACTCTGATATGCCGAGGTCGGATGTGCTTGTGGGTGCAGCCGTTCGTCTTAGTGGACACGTGTACACTATAATAGCACACGCTACAGACCAGGAGTATGTAATACTGGAACAACTGGACTCAAAGGTACGGTTCAAGATGCACGTACACTCAGCTTTGCACTTGTACTACAATACTAGAGTCGTGTCGAAAACCCCCAACCCCAAGAAAGACAGTCGCCGCAAAAAACGGCCATCCAAGTCCGTGGTAATGGCTCCAGGTGCAGATGCACATCAACAGCAGCCAACCCGTACACACTCTTCAGACAGCAGTGGACCCGATAATAAAAGGCTCGCTAAGCCACGCACTCGGTTCCGTACTATTCCGCTACTTAAACAGACCAAGCTACATAGGGCTGTTACCGGATGTCGTCTGTCTGAAGAGGCCATCAATGCTATACACGAGCCCACTCCCGGCTATGTGTGGCGTGTCGAAGCACCAGAGCAGAGAGGTGATACGATTCGGTACAGGGCAATTATGATGTCTATCGATGACAACAAGCCCCTCCCACATCATCGTTCGTTGAACATTGTCGGTTTTGGCCCTAGTTCCTATATCCCCGGCAGCAAATACAAAAAGTCCGTGTCGACCCGTGACCTCTAAACCCGTTTTAACTTTGGAATCCCAAGCATCGTAGTTTGTTTAATAAAATGTTTATTTTGAATAACCTTTGCGTCGTACCATGTTTAACACTATGTTTGTTTTGAATAACCTTTGCATCGTATCATGTTTAACACTATGTTTGTTTTGAATAACCTTTGCGTCGTACCATGTTTAACACTATGTTTGTTTTGAATACTAGCCATTGCATCTACACAACTACCGGTAAGTGTTTATGATGCAAATAAAACCGGGTTGACAAAAACCCCAACCCCCGAATCCGTAATAAAACCGGGTTGACAAAAACCCTCGCCCGCGAATATAGTGCTCATTTGCACTACATGTATTGCCGTGTCCACGAAACAATCATGTTCGGTCAACCCACCCACTCGCAGCGCTAAAATCCTAAAATACACCATGGGTTAGGTGCATAAAAGGGGCGTACTCTTTGGGTGAGGACATTCATAACCGTTTTGCACATACATCTAAAACTGTTGACCAAACAAAATGATTGGATACACAAGCCCACCGATCCCTCTCGTCGCCGCCAAACACGGCCCTGATTGTTTTTGCGGCGATAGGGCTGCTACAGCGACACTGGCCGACAAGCGCAACCATCAAATATACGAGAAACGGCATTTATTTCTGTATCTGCTTGCGCGTGACAACATGACAACCCCGTGCTACTGGACGATCGCGGACACCTTAATGAAGGCTGCCGACAATGTATTGGATCTCGACGCCGAGTTGGTTGGTTATATATCACACCGCATCTTCCAAATGTCCCAGGAGGATACCGTGTTGCCTATGATGGTGTTTGTCTTGGCTGACGTAGTGATAAACAATGCCGACAGGTTCAAGGCTCACGATCTTGGTTCACTGTTTAACCTACTTTCACGTGGTAAAGACTCGGCCGAACACATTCTTCGCGTACAACGCACTTTGGACAATATCTGTTTGAAGCTGGTTGTCCACGTTGCAACGACGAACATCGGTGAACTCCATATCTAAGTCTATTTTTCCAGTTCGCGTGCGAGGAAGACTGAATCTACTATTACCCCAAAATATTCTGCGACGAACGATAGCCACAATAAAAAACATTATACTTACATTTTATTGAACATACATTACACAGGTGTTGGGGGTTTGTTGGAGTGACAAGTTGGCGGTTTTAATGTACCAAATTATATAGACGCTGACCCCGATCCTAAACCCTAAACCTTCTTTAACGACAAAAAACCCTATAACCCCAAACCACGTGTGTGGTATATATGAGTCATTGTGGCCAGCAGTCGGTGTGGTTCACCGATCGCCCCTAACCGGTCAACCACCCATATTCGGGGCTTCATTTTGCCAACGCGACTAGTATAAAACCGTAGTCCCGGTGCAGCTCAAACTCACACTTTCAACTTCTCCAATATAGTTTTTTGCGTATAAAGGCGGCTGGTCCAAATCCCTTGAACGATGACTACACCTACACTGTTTGGCTTAACACACGATTGTCTCCGACGCATTCTTGGTTTTCTTGATCCCCCGAGTGCGCTGGAACTGTGCGTAGCGTACGGACGACCCGAAATGATGAATTGGTTTTACGAAGACGGAGGAGTGTACACATACGACGGGACAGATCATTTTCTACCACCTAGACATGTTAAACATTTGCGCTATACTGGCGTATCACCGAACGTCGACGAATTGGCTGCATACACCAGCCTGCACAGACTCGAGCTGAAGAATACCCAGGTGACGAACGTCGACGCCCTGGCCACCAGCACTAGCTTGCACACACTCGACCTGAGTGAATCCATGGTGACAAATGTTGACACCCTGGCCGCATGCACTAGCTTGCACACACTCAACCTGTTCTCGACCAATGTAACGAACGTCGACGCCCTGGCTGCCAGCACCAGCTTGCACACACTCGACCTGAGTAGATCCAGGGTGACGAGCGTTAGCGCCCTAGCTGCATGCACTAGCCTGCGCACACTCGTACTGACCTCTACTAAAGTGACTAACGTTGACACCCTGGCTGCCAGCACCAGCTTGCACACACTCGACCTGAGTAGATCCAGGGTGACGAGCGTTAGCGCCCTATCTGCGTGCACTAGCCTGCACACGCTCAACCTAAAATATACCCAGGTGACGTACGTTAACGACCTAGCTGCGTGCACTAGCTTGCACACACTCGACTTAAACTATACCAAGGTGAGGAACGTTAACGCCCTAGCTGCGTGCACTAGCTTACACACACTCGACCTAAACTATACCAAGGTGACGAACGTTAACGCCCTAGCTGCGTGCACTAGCCTGCATACACTCAACCTAAAATATACCCTGGTGACGAACGTTAACGCCCTAGCTGCGTGCACTAGCTTGCACACACTTGACCTGAGTGGATCCATGGTAACAAACGTTAACGCCCTAGCTGCGTGCACTAGCTTGCACACACTCAACCTGAGTGATACCCAGGTGACGAACGTTAACGCCCTAGCCGCGTGCACTAGCTTGCACACTCTCAACCTAAACTGTACCTGGATGACGAACGTTCGCCCTGGTCGCGATTACTAGCTTGCACACTCTCAACCTAAACTGTACCTGGATGACGAACGTTCGCCCTGGTCGCGATTACTAGCTTGCACACAACTCGTGTTCTCACATATACCACCCCAAAATATTCTGCGACGAACATTACTACAATAAAGAACCCTTACATACATTTTATTAAATATGTCCCTTTTTCGTAAGAGGTTATTTTAAACATCAAAGGGAACAAAGAGTCAGAGGTTTAGACCATCTTTGATCACCAAGGGCTAAGGTAATACATATACTAGAGACGAGGAAGAACACTCAGATTAACAACAGAACAAATTGTTTGTAAGTCTCGTATACTTTGATGTCTGGTTTCTCAATGTATCAAATTTTATTAAATACGACACTACAACTGAACCTTGGTATTGTACACTTGCTGCGCGAGGGGGTCTTTAAATAGTCGATTAGCATCCTTGATCGGAATACCGTACAGTTGGCGGCGTCGATCGGTAAGCTTGTGTACTCTAGCCTTGCAGTCTTTGGTTGCTGCAACAAATCGCGCCTTCTCGTCTGGAGGTTGGACTCTACGACGACAGTATTGTGTGTTCTTGCGGTGAAAATTGTTTGCATTTGCAGGCCCAAACTGCCTCTTGGGCCCAACGTACGGATGTAAGATAAATCCAGACTCTGCCATCCCAGTCAGTGTCTCCAGCTGCGTCTGCGTCAGGCTACCGCTGGGATTGTGCGTTCCCACTACGTAGCGTTCCTGTACATGACCCCGCGTGGGCTTAAACTTGTTGCCCTTTGGGTCAATGTTCATCTCAAAATGAACTACGCCAGCCGTCCAACACACAATATCCCCGGGCTCAGGGATCACGATTGCACCCGCTGCTTCTAGGACCTGGACTATTGAGTCTGAGTTCGACAATGAAGTAAACCCCGTTGTGGTCTTGTCTCGGTACATGACCGAGATGTCGGGTTGGTGCGTGGCTCGTCCGAACACGAGGCGTACATTGCCCTCTCTGTATCCAATAACCATAGCCTGCACGCGATTAAACGTATCCGAGGTCGGATAGTCATCAACGTGAGGTACAGTCAGGTTTCCCCTAAACGTCTTGAACGAATCCTGCGACACCATACCCCCCATATTGCCGGTTACCTGGAACAAAATGGCCGTGGCTAGTTCACTGTCTGGATGTTCCATAACCGCCAGGTTAGCCTGGAACCCCGACCCAGGCGCAAACACCGTCGGCTGCGCGTCCGAGGTATCCAACTGCGCTGCGTGGTAGTCTGACTTGGCTTCAGGCTGCGCATACATAAATCCGAACCCCTTGTTGCCGATCACACCAGTGGGCCACAGGAACTTGTGTTGACTCTGAACATCATATATAGTCTTAGCCACGTCCACCTTTGGCGCGTACTGCACATCAATGCTCGGTTTAACGTCACGCTCCCACGCGCGGTAAGCTGCCACCTGCCCTGCCGCACATGCCGCGCGTGTGATGCATCCGCGAATAATCAGGACCCCGTTGTCCTTGAGTGCTCTGCGTGCCGTCTGGATCGCCCCCAGACACGGGTCTCCCGTAAACTGGTCTCTGGACATGATAGGGCTCACCAGTCCCCCAATCTTCTTCTTCAGAGTTGATACAAACACGGATGAATCCGTGTCCGGTGGTGTACCTGCAGTGGTAGTTGTCGCTAGTGTCATTGTAGTACAAATCTAACAAGTATATATTTATCAAATCCAAAACCTCTCAGGTGCGAGTGTGAGGCAAATGTGCTCGCAAGGTGTCGCTTATATACTAAAAATGGCGCTCATGTAAACCGGTCCACGATTCAGTCGCGTGTGGTGAACCAGTGTTTCCGAATGTGTATTGAAACATAAATATTTGTATACCCTAAAAAACCGGGAGTCTTGAAAAGTATATAAGAGGCACACCCACCCCCCACAATCTCATTTACAACTTACTCACTTTACACACACACCCCCAAACTCACACTCTGGAACAATGAACGAATACTCCGACCACGAAACGCACGGCTGTGTTTGTTATACTCACACCAAAATGACGCTTGCCATGAAGCGCCTACACCCCATGTACGAACATCGACAGCTCGCCTTGACTATGATGTTGCACATGGAGGTCGCGTCCCCGTGCCCCTGGACACTGATGGATGTTTTACTGGCCGACGCGGGTGCCTGCGACTTGGATATGGATGCCGGCCTGGTGGATCTCATATCACGCAGCATTGCCCGTCTCGCGGACGGCGTCGCTGTCACGCCAATGATGGTGTTTGTGTTGGCGGACATTGTAGCCCACCACGCCGGTAGATTTGGACCCGACAATTTCGACGCCCTGTTTCATATGCTTGACTGTGGGAAAAACACGACCGACGCGGATCGTGTGGAGCGGACTATTAATGATCTCGAGTGCAAGCTGATTGTCGTCTTGGTGGCTCTTGACATGATGGATGATAGCGAATGTAGTGCACCGGTCCCGGCGGACCGCCTGGCCGTTCTGGAACTCCCGTGCGTAGTTCTGACATCCGAATGTACCATGTGCAAAGATGATACCGACACCGACATGGGGTCTCTTATGCCGTGCGGGCATGTGTTCCACACCGCCTGTATCCGGATGTGGCTGGCTATAGCCAATACGTGTCCAATGTGCCGCGCCGAGCTTGCAGAATCCACCACAGTTACTAGTCCGACGCGGTACTCTGTGGTGAACCTGGGCGAGTTCATATGTTCCGGGTACGTGGCGGAACTCACGATTGGGGTTCACGTTGACAACATATATGTGACGAACCGCTACTATGTCACCCACGACAGACGCGTCGTGGGTGAAGCCGGGGGTGCTGGAAAACGATCCGGGGAGATTTGCGACTTCGGGGTGTACCCAGACTATCTGATGCATTTACCGGACGACGGAGCGATTGTGGCCGTGCGTGAGTTTACGGATCGGTCCGAGGTCCCCGATGATTTGGACTTGGACTTTATGCGAGCCTCGCACGACAAGATGCACTGTGACTGGTTTGTGTTTACCATGGTGAATGGCCGCGCGCTGAAGAGTGATCCCGTCGACGTTATCCGGATTCAAAATCTACCTTGTGCGGCGTATACGCGATATATATAAAGCCGAAGAAGTAGAAAAAAAAATAGAGGAAATGTATGCTAAGTTAACACGAATGAAAAAAAAATCGAATGAAGTTCATCCCTCTCGGAATTATAAAACAATTTTAAAGTATCTTACAGACATGTTGTTTTCGACCACTAACGCCACTGGTTCACGACGGGGTAGTAGTAGTAGTGAGTCGAAAGATGTGGTCGACAAAGATTGCAGTGTTAAGGATGATGTGTTACAGCCCCTGGTCGACAAGGGTTGTAGTGTTAAAGACCAACCACAGCCTCTGTTCGAGTACACTAACCGCCACAAAACTGTGCGCGTGTATTCGTCAGAAGTTGTCAAGGAATACACCGGGGACGATACTGTAGCCCGGTGCGCGGATCACGAGTATCAAGTGACACACCTCTTTTCCAATCACGCACATGTCGTAAAACTCAAAGGTCCCTTGATGTATAATGACGTCATAGGTGTATCCCAAATCCATTTTCAGAACCACGGACTGGAGTTGACCGATGTCATGAATCTAGAGATCCTCAACGTGGCGCACAAAGTGCACGTCGTAGCTGACGTGGTGGTCCGGTTCCGCAGCACATGTATTGCCATATCTAGCATGCGCCTTGCTGTCACGTTGCTGTCGAGTTTCGTCTGACGGTACATGGTTGGATCAGATTGGAATTCCACATAATTAGCCGAAGTCGTAAAATAAATCCTGTTCAGGGTTTCACACTGCAGGTTGACTACCCTGTGCTGTCCACGACCGGTAACCGGAATCCAGGGCCCGAGAAGGCCCTGTAAAAAAAAACTAGGGGTCTAGGCAAGGCCCTACAAAACTCAAAAGTCAAACCCCTGACGAGTGACGACTGGAGAGTGGACCCCGCCGTTGGTACCAGAGGACGAGGAGTAGAAATATCGACAGACGAGTGGCCGAGAACCGAAAAAGCCAAAGAGTCATGAAGCCGAAGAGCCAAATGTGGAGACCAGAAGCCCGAAAATCGGAAATACCACAAGTATTTCCAAGAAATACCACAAGTTCACAAGTATTTCCAAGAAATACCACAAGTATTTCCAAGAAATACCACAAGTATTTCCAAGAAATACCACAAGTGTTTCCAAGAAATACCACACGTGTTTCCAAGAAATACCACACGTGTTTCCAAGAAATACCACACGTGTTTCCAAGAAATACCACACGTGTTTCCAAGAAATACCACAAGTGTTTCCAAGAAATACCACAAGTGTTTCCAAGAAATACCACAAGTGTTTCCAAGAAATACCACAAGTGTTTCCAAGAAAACCCTAAGTGAGCAGTTTTTACCGTATTCTGGGATGTGTGCACACTGAGTATTTCTTTAGTTGCAATTGTTTAGATCATTAGCATATGTATAACCAGCAACTTAGCGCAATTAGAATGATGTTAGTCTCAATGACTGATGAAAGGGAACGCTCCAGCATGTGTTTCGGTACAATATTGCAACTGTATTTAGTTCATTATTGTAAGCATATGCGAGCACAGATGTACTACACACACAAATGGAGCTCGTCGAGTTGATGTTCATCCCTGTGTTGACAGACGTCAGTTGCTATTTGTCACTGACCAGTATATTGTTAAACTAATGGGCACGGCAGCAACTCATATCTTCCTCCATACGCAAAACCGAATCGACAGAAAATTTATCTGATCTGTCTCGTGTATGTACTTTATTTGGTCAGGGTGGTTTATTGGGGACTTAAGATAGTGCAACGTAAGTGACAAATCCGTCATCGCTATCGCATTGGTTCGCGCAGATCGTCAATTTTCTGCTGCTGTCAGCTTTTCACATATATTCCAGTGAGCTTGGACTATCTTCTGCACTACTAAATCGATTTGGTCGTGTAGCCATGACGTTACCAAAGATGGCTATTCTAAGTACATTGCATTTCTATTTGCCTTTGAGTGTGGGCTTCCCATTCACTGTATACGCGGATGTCAACTTGATTGAATACATATCAATGGGGGCGATAAAATAAACACAAATATATACAAACACCTGCTAGATGGTACCTTGGATTACGAATGCCTTTTCGTTTATTGCGCGTGTTGAAAAATATATAACTTGTGTGTGTGGGATTCTGTCGTTTATCAATAAGCACGTGGCTTCAACTTGGTAGCGGGAATGCACTAGTTATGTACAGGCATTTACAAGCGAATATTGGACAGAAACAGTTTATATTTTGACATAAGTATACACGGGTACATCCTGGATATATACTCATGTAGATACAACCTGTAAGCTACAAAGAAAAACTCTACAACTGTAGTTATACATGGTTGACGTTTTCAGATTTCCTTGAGTGATTTAATAAATATTAACGTAAATATTTTTTTGTAGCCAGTTGACGATAACACATTATACGGCCAATTGCGACTGAGTCCACGTCATGCACAATGTATTAAATGTATTTGTGAAATAGAAAACAGTTTTTTAAAATACTACGGACAGTTTGAATATTGCGTTGAGTGATTGTGTCCACCTTCGGACAAACAGATTTATATCTTGATTGCTATGAAATCGTCATATATATTCGTGTTTTGTGAAGCACTTAAGTATTAAAAACTTGCAGGTTCTAATCCATTATTCAGAATTGTGTACAAAGTATTGATATTTGTATCGAATGTACATATCCACTGAAAAATTGTCGAATTCAAGTATGATAAAAATTGGCTATGTACATGTTACAGACAATGTAAATGTTTGAAGCAGTATTCTATTCCATATGTACTTGAGATAGAGAATTTGGGTCATATTTTAATATATTTACTAGCTGTAGTGATATTTCATGATTGTTGCTATATTGTCTACACTTTTCGTGATATAAGAGCCAAAAAGCCAATGAACTTAAAGTGAAGACTAAAAGCCCGAAAAACGAAAAACGGGAATGACGAAAGTATGAAGAACAGAGAAGCAAGAGGAAAAGGGATACCGAGCAAAAGTCACTGGGAACGTGGAGCTCTATAAAAAAACCCCCCGGGGCAAGCCAATGGCTGAAGTATTAAAAACTATCCGAATAACAACGCGAGCTAAGAGCTGCTGTATCACGGAGCAGTTCTGTGAAGCCCTAAGTGAGCAGTTTTTGCCGTAGTTTTGGATGTGTGCACACATGTTGCCTATAGTTGCAATTGTTTTGATCATTAGCACGTGTGCTGGGAATAGCTTAGCGCAATGAGAACGATCTTAAGCTCCATGGATGTCTCCGAATACTGCATCGGTTCACTGCGCAAACGTAGCGCGACAACTCATTTGGTGTTGTGAATATGAAATTTGGCCGAATCTACAACCGTACATTATGATCTAATGACCGAGTACGAATGCGTAGCTACACTCTAACGATGCGAACTAAGGCATTGTCTTGATCTATATTGTATTTGTATATGCATGTATATTCGATCAATTAGCGGTGGGCTACATCCTGCAGGCCGCTAGCTTACACCTACTTTCTCGGGGGAGTAGGAGGGAGGCGAGAGGGAGAGCCTAATGTTACATAAGTTCTCCGTCACGTGTGGTCGATGGGGGCCATACGGATGTGCACTGAATGTGCCAAGGCAACCAAGTTTATTCGGTAATTAAGGGACCGTAGGATAGCTTATGTCCCCCTTACTTAACTGTTTAAAACCCATTGAAGTACAAATCGAATGGTTACAAACGCGCATTCCTATCGAAGCATATTGAAATCCAACAAACGCCTACACGCTCAAGAGCATCTATATATGTGCGACATCCCCGGCAAGTCCTTGAAATATCACACGTGAAGGTGCATCAATATCTGTAAATAACTTTGTTGCCATCTCGACTGCCGCGCAGACTTCCGCACTTGGTACGCATTTCACGGGCTAAACTCCGCAACATCCGGATTTAGGCGCACATTGAACTTCGTATACCATATCGAGTTGGGCCCCAATTTAGGCCCCTGGCTTTCTGTACTTCTTCGCCCACGCCCTCTCCCGGTTCTGCCTCTGCCCATACTCACAGCCGGTTTGCTGACTAATCCACTACCATGACCGTGCCCATGTAAATGTGCTACACCCTGTATGTGTGTATGTGCAGTGCTCTGTGCACCCACAGGTGCATGTGCAGTGCTCTGTGCACCCACAGGTGCATGTGCAGACTGACTCGTGAGATTGTGCGCCTGAGGCTGCTTTGTGAGTGTATGTACCAGTCCTTGTTCTGGTGTGTGGGCGTGTAACTTCTCGCTATAGTCTCTAATAGGCTCATCCACAAAGCCATTTTTGACTATCTGTTTGGCTATTGCCTCACCCCAACCTCCACCATCTGTTTCTGTCGATGTAATACGGGTATTCTCCAACCCGTGAACTTGACTTTGTGTGGTGGGTGTTGTAAGTACACTCTTGGCAGCCTGTGTCTTCTTCTCGGCTGCAAATACAGGTGCTTTCCCCCAAGCGCTTTGTGCTAAGGCACGCACGGGTTTTTGCGGTAGATCGGGTACGGGTGTATCGACTTGCACATCCGCATTTCCGTTTTGCGCGTCTAAGCGCTTGTTATGCATACCCAGATTCCGCATGTGTTCCCGCACTTTCCCGTTTGATGCAGACGCATAGCTAGACTTCGATGCTTTACCGACCCCCTTAGTTGTCCATGCTTGAGCGTGTGGCAGGCCGCATGTGTGTGAGCCTCTATCACCGGAACAATCATTTGTCCCGTCTGCATTTCTGGCTAACTGTTTGCCTGGTACAGAAGCCTTGTGAGCCTTCTCCTTTGTTGGTGGTCCGAATGCAGACCTCGGCAAAAAAGATATTTTGGGGCACACCTTAGTGCTATTTGGTGGTATCTTACCGCACTTCGCTTTGTCAGTGTGGCCCGTTCTCATTTCAGATGACGGTACGACTAAACCGCGCGCATGCGATGCTGACATACCGCACTTTCCTGTATCCATATCAGCGGCCCTTCTTTCCGGTGACATCGCAATCACTCCATTTTCACTATCGATGGTTTCATTATTCGTTGGAGCTATAATGTCCCCGATGACTAGATCTTTACTTTCAATGGTGCTTTTCTCCCTAGACGATGCGCTTGACCCGCTGTCATGCAACTTCGAAGTGCCACACCCTCCTGACCCATTCTCAACTACATTTGCCTTCGGTGACAGTACAATCACATCAATGCCATGAGAGTGTAGAGTGCTGCGCCCTTTGCCGATATCAACGCCATTTCTTCTACGCGACAACACAACCACGCTATCATCCGGAGAAGAACCGCACTGTTCTTGTTTGCTGTCAGCGGCTCGCATCTCTGGCGACAGGAAACCCACTTGAGGAAGGTTTTCATGCATCTGTGCCGATCCAGATGCCTCGTTGCTAGCATGTGCGCCAATCACATTAGCTTCCTTATATTTGCGTTCTGGTATCACATTCACATTATCACCCGAAGTTGAGGACACATCAGTTCCATACGGCTCGCGCACAGGATCAGCATTTATGTTGAAATTCTTGTCACGCACATTGTCGATATCCATGTCGCACAGATATACACCGCTCCCCGTCCTACTGGTGTCCAGCATTGCACCACCCTCTCCCTCTATAGCACCCGTAGACGCCCTGGGTTCCGTAGCTATGTCCACAGCACCCACCCCAGATATACATCCACGACTATCAGATGGGTCTCCAATTGCGGACAAATTTTCATTTGCAGGCAATTCCACTATCTTCCGGGCCGGTGTATACCCGCTTATCGGCGTATCGACCGCTTCAGTCGCTTGTAGTCCACGCACGACATCTTTCTCCTTCGCCCAGAAACGACTTCCTGTGTCAAGGCTGAACTTACGGCATGCATCTGGGTACCTAGAAGGGTGCACCGAGGGTACTCTACCGGAACAGACCTCAAGAGGAGCGATTACCGACTCTGTCACTGGACCCCAGGCTCTAGACAGCCAATCAGACTTTTTCAATGCTACAGTTTGTGGTTCAATCCGCCAATCAGGTATTGTCATTTGGAACGTTCGTGCACACATAGCTCCAGTGGTGGCTGGCATTGAATGACGTCGTGGTGTTGGGAGAAGTACACGCCTCGTTTTACGGATACCGGTTGTACATTGTGACGTATCTTTCTCCCAATTGGACGGACGCCGTGCTCGGGAACTGAGAGTACTCAAGGACCTGGCCGCGAGCGATTGTGTTCCGTCTGTCATTGCGTTGGATTCAGAAAATGGTTCTTTGTCGTTCCGGTGCACACACGGAGGGTCAGTGCATTTAGCGGTAGCAAGTCGAGGTATAGTTATTTGTTCACACGCTGTGTTGGACTCTAATACAACTTCGACACCATTCCCGTGTGCACAATGAGAGTCTGCAGCAAGTTGTTGTTTATTTGCCCTCCTATCTCTCCGGATAGACTGACCGACTGTGGGGACGGAAGACATTTCTGTTGAGTTGCTAGGCTGTGTTGACATATCAGTGGTAACTTTGTCTGTGCCCGTTTGCATGCCCACTGATATGAATTCCAACTTCTCCATCTGTTTGCACACGGCAGGGTCTCGTTTCCGGCCTTTCCGCACTTTAGTTTGCCCCTCCTCAGTCGTACGCGCCAGGTCAGCATCAGCACGCACATTCATATGCTTTGATTCTGTATTCTCAGCCAGATTCTGAATGCCCATGCGAGGTACGAACTCCACTCCGGTAAACCGCAATTTGCCTTTAGCTACTTTTGGATGTTCATCTACACCGTTATCCGTACACGATTTGATACGCACACCATCGCCGGCCAAACTGCGTGCGCTCTCACTGTCGGTATCGTACACTTCTGGTTCAAGGGCCTGTGGGCCGTATCCCGAAGGGAAAACGAACTCATCGCGGCTGTACGTGTTGTACCCGTAATGGTTGTGCACTTCCACGGACTCGTGCATTTTTTGTCCCGGATGTACAAGCATACCAGCCCGATACAGACTGTCCATAATTGCGCGCGCACGCATCTGCCTATATCTTGCATCCTGTAGCACATAATTTGAGGAAACAAAGACGCAAAACTCAATAGGTATTGATAGAGCTAACTTGCAGGGTCGTATGAATTCTAAGGATCCAATTCGATAGATAAGCATGTTCAGAATGCTGTACATGCTTATGAGCATGTATGTGTAGAGAGCAGGACGAAAGCCGCATTCGGCTGTAAAGGGCATAATATGAATACTATTATTTCTTCTCACCCACCTTAGTATGCCCACACACGGATAGGTTGCCGTACACTTCAATGCATCGGTTTAGCACGTTGTCTGTGAAGTAGCATGGTTGTTGTAGCCGCCTGGATCGTTGCGGGATGGACGCGTCTTGCAAATGATCCACATCGACGGGTTTGAGGCCATATTTGTCGCGTATGGTTCCCTGCAGATATGCAATTGAGTGATACAACATCAGTTATATCGGATTGACTACGGTTGGCACTAGCGCATGTATTGCATAACTTCGTTAACAGAATAGATGTAAGCATATACATATATATATATATATATATATATATATAACTATGAATAGACATGTATATATTTGAGCATACTCTACCCCTCCGAGGCAATATCGTGGTGGCCCCCATCCCCGACGGGATAAATTATGAATTCACAGAATGTGTCATCGTTGCTCCTTTAAGCAACAACCATACTACCCTCTCGAGAGAGTGACTCAGGAGGAGGAGAGGGGCAGGCTAGTGAAATGGTGATAGTAATAGCAGAGTATCCAAATAAACGCACAAACGTGATATCTGATCATTCGGCTTAAACCGGCATATGATTTGCACATGTTCATGCAAGTAAAGGAACAGAAAAGAAATCCTGATCAATGCAATATAATCATATACACACTCATGAGTGTCAAATAAGATGACTGAACTTGACGTAACAGAGGATATCAATCGTGACTATGTGTGTTTATGGTTCTTATTTATTGCACCAATTCAACAGCAATTTGCCAAATCCGATACAAACGTAGAAATAGTAATCAATAAAACAGCACACTTATTGCACTTCTCACTGAAGAAGGATTGGCAGTACGTGCATGCGATTCGCAGAGCATCAAGTGGCACTGCTTGCCTCCTATGTCGCGCTGCTAATCCAATACGAACATACTAGTGAGTACATAACCTCGTTTATAGAGCAATACTCACCAAGGGAATGGTAGCACGCGCATGAGGTACGCAAAGCATCAACTGTCGCTTCTTTCCCGTTATCTCGCGCTTTAGCAACACTTTACCGGGTGCAAGACACCGTTCGTCATGCAGGCATACGTAGCAGCTGTTCATAGTCCAATCGCGACATAACTGGTACAGTGAGTTGTAGCAGAGTTGTTTGCACTGTAGTGAGGGTCAGAGAGTGAGATAGGAATATTAGAGAAGTGCCAATAGAAAGCGGGTCAATATGATACGACAAGCTCACATTTGCCGTTTGCATGAAAGGCAAAAATAATCTATAAGTCAAGCGGTGAATAGTTTAAATTACTTACGAGGCAGCCTCGAGCAATCGAAACACATGTTGATTCATGTATGAAGGCAGGTATGAACGGATGGCGACCGCAGCTCATACCGTAATATAAATTATGTATCATCGATTCGCAGAAATCATGATTAATAGTTGCATATAGTCAAACTCTATACTTGGTACGACAAAAATTCAGCATCTAGGAAGTGCAACATGAAAATCAAAATTTAATACCTTACTATCGTCCAAGATACAGTCTGTGCACTCAAACACTGTGCACGAGGGATACAGATAACCCGGAAGTGATTCATGATGGTACTGTTTAAATTGTACACTCCAATCATCTAGAAACATTGATGTGATTCATTCTAATACGATAATACTACGATAGGATTTGAGCTCCTTCAGACACTGTACTTCAGCATAGACGCGGATATCGAGATGAAAATACAGCTTTGGAGCCCTCATATCCAGACTCGTGAACACGTAAAATACAATACAAAGTAATCGATATTCCTGCCTCAGACCATGTCTGCAGATCAAAAGATCACTGGAATACACCGGCTTTGTGAGTGGGCATAAGATGCCTATATATACACAATGAGATACTTTGGGATCAATTATAATGCGACATACCAAACTGCGGAACACTTTGATTGAGTAGTCGAAGAACTCAAAGCACTCGTGTTGCACCACCTTCTCGAAGACGACAGACAGGCCTCGTTGCGTTGAATGCGTCCAGCCCGGTTTAATAACCTACGCAAATCCAGACAATAAATATAGCCTTATAAATTTAAAAACTGTGCTACAAATAGGCAGCGAATCGATATGGATATCACACTGAGTACGACAAGATTGGCAAACGCGTATAAAATCCCGCAGGCTTTCAGTCTGTTAGAATACTTGGTGATTGGTAAGACGCACCGAACGCAAGCTAGAGATTGTGACTGATAGAAATGCCTTATGCGCTTGACAAGGGTCAAATTTCAAAGTGATAGGACTATACATTTGTTAAGAATTAAGACACAACACTGCTAAATACAATACTTGGCAGAGGTTGTACCTAGTGTACAGACCTTATTGTTTAAATAAGGAACAAACTAATGTAGGAGTCGTCCATAAACATCAAAGAATCGCAAATATTTATGAAGATAGACAATTGCAGACATGAGCCGAGAACTTAGAGCTTTAAGCATCGATATCATACAAAAACTACCACGAACCTCTATCAGCTCATGGGAGCAGTAACGTGAGAATGGTCTGATTCTGTCAGTCTACCAATATGGTATTGCAATTTTCTATAATTAACTGCTTCGCTAGGTTATAATACACAAACACATGGCTGAGACAACAGTATAAACGCCTGCATATATGAAGTGTCAGGAGTGTAAGCTAGGACATGGAGCTTGCAGAATTTGTACAAAGTTTCTTGTACGGTTGCAGGAATCATGACCCGTATCCGCGGATTGACTCGTGTTCAGGTAATAAATATCTTAATTTCCGGAATCATTCTCTTAGGACTACAATTGAAGCCTCTATCATATACAAGTACTAGTGTCATTAAACTTGAATTACTTCCCACGTAGTGCCATAATAATACAAGTATACTCATACTCACGACAGACAACATACAATATGTTCAAGCCCACATATAGACAAACCAAGTTTAACCCTCACAGGCCACATCAATCACACACACCTTGCTTGGAATGAACCATCGAGGCAAAGCATTTCCCCACATACGTTTTATCATGAGCGTCCAGTGCTTGCCATCGGGTTTAAGTACAACACAAAGTCGTCTACAAGTGTGTATGAGCTCAATCAGATCATCCGTGTCGGTTATGAATCCACATATTTTCTCCAAAATCTCAAACGGGAGGTTCAATATAGGTGTCACGCTGCGATACTTGGCAACACTACCTGCGCATCGCTTACCGACTGTATGGTTTGATTCAGTACGACATTGCAGGAGGGTTTCTTGGGCCATGTTGATCTTTATTGCAAGTGAACAGAGTTCAGAGTTCAGAGTTTATAGTTCGTACTTGCGTAGTCTGACGAAGAACCCGTAGATATATGCAGTAGTGAGGTGCCACACTTGATCATTACACATACACTCGTCCAGCCCTTGACCAAGCGCCCGTATAGGTTTGTTTCACAGCTATCCTACTCGCTGAGCTGTATGTATATATACTCGTTTTTTTAAGTATCTGGCGTCCTGAAAGTATGCCGTTCTGTAAGAATGTAAAGTCGTGCTCGCACCTTGGGCTACCGGAGATGGATACCTCTTGAACGTGATAATAGTATGTTGATTCTAAGTATACAATGCAATAGTGTATATAGCAGGTATGTTTCTTCCACTGAAGTAAAGCGGTTGTGAATATGATTGCTTACGTGTACAGTACTTATGTCTTATGTACTTAAAACGCTCGTTCTATTTTTGGTTGTAGTTTGACTCTGTGACCAAGTGGAACTAAAGGTGTCATAGTGAACTTTTTTTAGGCTCTTGTGTTGGTGTGATAGAGTGAGCCACTTCGGCTTTCGTGTGCGTGGAATATAGAAAAAATATCACAAAATGAGATGATTCGATTGGACAATGAGGCGGGTGCTATGCGCTGCAGCTTTTATTTATTTTTATGTGTCATAGAGAGAGAGAGAG